ATGTTCACTCCCCGTCTCCCTCGTCGTCACTTGTTTGTGGTTAGATCTAGCCGTAATATCATCAGAAAGCTTGAGGACCAAGTACTTTCTAGTGTGCACTGTTGAAGGTCAGGCTGATCAACCTTGTTTCGCAGATATATTTGGTCGGCGTCTCTGTATCGATCATTGAGTACATTACTTTTCAGTTCCTAAAGGGTCACTCTTGACAACCACAGTTTCAGAAACAAGCGGAACCGACTCTTCAGACCACCAACAACGATAATAATTTGTTACGAAGTATGAATTATACTATCGCTTGCCAATTTTACGGGTATTATCTAAGTGCTATTAATCTCGGTGGAGCTGAGGAAATTTAAAACGAATAAATCACCACGCCACGTATAGCCTCTTAGAGAATGTGATTCCTTGGATATTACTGGTCACAAATATTAGGTAAAAACTCTTCCTCTGCACTTTAGAAGTGAGAAGTAACACAGGTATCGTCACTCAGTATGAGCAGCAGCCCGGCAATAGTAATAAGCCCTAACACCAGTTATTATGAGTTGCCTGGTCACTAAGAGCATATAGCCTATCGAACGTTCAGCATGAAATAGGCGTAAAACATGCGAACGCTGGATAATTTTTTGCTGTCTACAGATAACATACGAAACTATATTTATATACTGAGACAGGCCAAGAGAAAAAGTTGGGACCAGCATTATGTGGTGTCATGCAGCGTGCAGTGATTGTTTAGGTCTGTGTTGTCGAAAACGAACTATTTTCGGTAAATTAATTTGGGGATGTAACTCACTCAAGCAGTTGCTGCCGTATTGCGGAGGATGATATGTAGGGTTTCCCCATTAAGTAGCTTAATATGCCTCCAAGTTTGGTGCCTCATAAAACGTCAGTCTCGGTTCGCCTCATTACGTGGTGAGTACTTGTCAGGAGACAAAGAACCGGCAATGCTGAATATGGAAACCATTTAATACCAACATTTACAAATAAAACTCCAAGTCAAGCCATTAACATCTGGATGAAGTCCCAGAACAATCATTATGCAGCAGTTAGTTTGTGAACATGTCTATCAGAAATAAAAAAGAAGCATAGATATGAGCGGATATGGGGCAATTTATTGGATATTTAAATCAGTGAGAAATAAATATGCAAACTGTAGGAAGAAAGGATAGTTGCACCAAAGTTAACTAACTTATCAGTAATGAAGTATGCTGGTGCAAGAGCAGTCAGTGACACTTAAGTGTGCAGTCATTGTTTGAAGGAGAGAAATTTGGTTCAGGATAATATGCATAAGTGGCACGTAAGCAACGAAAAGTGCTGATCATCCAACCATGGTCAGATAAGTAACCCCGTCTTGAATGGATCTAGTCGTGCCTTAGGAAGCCACCTCTTTTGCCTTAGACATGCGAAAAACACAAACATAGTATGGAGCTGAAAACACTTATCCGACCGGTGTGGCATGTTGCTCAACATGTTTAAGGGATAACCCTGGGGATAAAGAAGTACTAAAAGCTGTGAATATGATATGTTTCTTTCGTTTACAGCCTCAATAAGGAATTAACGTTTAGATATTGCCTGTGGAAGTGGCACGTGTTAGTGTAATTCATTATTCGAAATATATCACCATCACCAAAAGCACGCTCCAGCGTAGTTTTACCGAAACTGTGGGTTTAAGCAACACCAAGGTAAGGAAATCAGAGCAATAAGCGCATGTTCCAATACAGAAGCAATGAACAGATCAATAAGGGCAAAAACAACTTCACAGATCATGTAGGAGTGACTTTCCTATCATTTTCCGCCAAAGTTAAGATCACTGTGGATGAATAAAGCATAGAAGTTATGGCCAAGGAAGTTGGATTACGAAGAATTTGATAAGGGTAAAAACGAGTAACCCCTGGGATACATCAATTTCATGCCGGGCTTGATCTGCCTATTCAGTAGTTTGGCGCACCCAGTCGAACGTATGCCTTACTGAAGGGAGAATTCGGGTGTTTGACAGTGCATGCCAAAATCAGGCATCAAGCCCGCAGAACGTAAAATAAGTGAGTAGTTTGTGAAGACCTGTAAAGGAAGCTATAAGTGTTTGCAGAAGAACCATAGACTGCACCAGAAACTTTTTCAACAAAAGCCTGGGGATGACTGACAGTAGGTTATAGTTAGATTCTTGTGAGCTACTTTGCCCTGAGGCGTATTGAGCCTCAAAATGAGTGAACTAAGCCGATGACCTGTGTGCTCAGAAAGCAGAGAGCTGTAAGATAGCAGCCATTCGTCTCAGAGAACTCTAATCTTCAGCAGTTTTAAGAATACAGGACACTAAGCAAGGGAGTATGGCTAAAGTTGAAAGGAGGCATAAAATACGAAATTATGCAAGAAAAGGCTTCGCGTTCTACTGCCAGGAGAAAAATTAAAAAAAAGCCGGACAAAAGCAGAACTAGACACAAAAGTCGGGTGATACTTGGTTTCATCAATTTTGAAGGCCTGGTTGTGTTGCTATGACCAAACCGGTGACTAGTCTTATATAAATTAATGTGCACAAATGCCAGCAAATCAGCAATCCACCCACGTACGAGTACTGAAAAGAAAAGACAAATAAAAAAGTTAGACTGCTTGTTGCACTTAGAAGAGCAGTTGATTTGTCAGCCTATGGTAAAAGGGTTATTTTACGGGGGATGCGTCGTTAATTGTTTCTTCGCAGATGAATAAATTACAGACTGTGCTGAGCTATTTGTCAGAACGGGGAAGACGCGAAAACGGCAGCTGTCAACGAGCGGCTACCTACATCTCGAAAAAGACTGGCACGAGTAAAAACAGCCTCTGATGTCATTGGAGATTTTCCATCTAAAATTCAGACATTTTGGACGTTAGCGTCTTTTTAAACTTGTCAGGATTTGGTGCTGTTGAGGTGCAACGTATTTCATCCGGAAGCTTACGAAAGTAGATGAGCATAAAAGGGTGGTGTATTCTTCGGCGACATCCCCACCAACGTTTTGACATTAAGATAGCTTGGTCTGCAAAAATAGACCTATATACCATGAGAAAAAACTGTATGGTTGACTGCCTTTTCCTCAAGGGCTACTTGCTGGCATTAGCTTCCGGCAGTCAGCTGTGTTCTCGAAAATATATAGATTCCAAAGTATTGGTGGACCAAACGGTATTGGAATCCTGCCAGCATTTTCAGGACTGCATTTACGACTACTTTTCTATCCAGTGAAAAATGTTTTCCATATTTGTTTTTTGAAAAGCAACGTACTTATCTCATATTTATATTGTTTGTCGATGGAATCCTTGTCCCCCTTGTCTATTAACGCTCCTCCTCCTCCTACTGCTGCTACTACTACTACTACTACTACTACTACCAAGAAAGCCAAAAATTCAACACAAATTTCAGTCTTATTTCAGCAGACTATCCGCAAATTAAGCGTGACTAGTAAAGTCAGTGCTCGAACGCAAGTACTGGTCACTGAAAACAGATGTGACAAAGTCAACAAAGATTTGATGAGTACGTTCTGTATTCGCTTAATACTACAGACTACCCAGGCGATTGGAGAGTCCCTTGGTGTTGAGAATGTGCATTGCATTAGCATAAGTCTGCATTCAGCTTCTTTCCTGTTGAATGCATTATCACCTTGTTACCAGTATGCAGCACTCTGGGAAGTCTATCCGGCAAGGTTAACTAGGGACGTGAGCGCATTTCTATGAGCTCAAAGATAGTCCGAGAAGGCGGAAAGGTTTCGAGAATCGTTTGCATTTTATAACCCTTGGCCTTCTCAGACACACTTCTTGGTACCGTAAGATGTGCCACATTATATAACATCTGTGAAACGTCGTAGCGATCACCTTCCTGCAGCAGCGTTCCACAAAAAGGTGAGGGACTCGTGGTTTGTCACGCACACTAATCCCATCTCTCACCTATCGGTTTGCATCCATCCGAGTCTATTCTCCTGCCGGTCAAGGAATTATTAAAATGTGTTACCAACTCGCAGTACATGAGTGCTAGAAATGAAATGTATTAACGTCCGTATCGACCATTTGCAACCAAACATGACGATCACGTGAATCTTCAAACGTAACAGAATCAGAAACCGTCAGGGTTAACAGAAAGTTCTCTTGCTTTACCAAGAGTCCATAGGAAACTTTTAGTGGACGCTGTCAGCACAGAAAAATGCCAGAGTAATACGCTAGACTGAACGCCAAGGTTGATTTTTACAACATCCACTCAATGTTCTCCACTAATTACTGGGTAGCCCGTTGACCAGCTCGGGGATCTTAAGTTACTTTTGTTAAACAGTACGTGCAACTCGACATCAGCATGAAATTCTAACTCCAGAGAGATAGGGTTACCTAGGCTTTAAGTTCTCTAAATCAGAGGGAAAATATAGGGGTGACTGACTTATCAAGTCATTATTTCTTAGCAATTCAGTCTCAGCTGTTTCTCAACGTAGGTTTTACCTCATAGATCATCCAACATGAGTCTATTGAAAGCGTAGAATGACTTGTCTCTGAGTTGAGTAGAAGAATCCCATTCACACCAGGCTAATGGAATTCACTAAGGCATTTGACATATTTGTTCATTATGTACTTCCGGAGTCCCAGTCTCGAGGATACTTTGCAGGTGTTGTGGCAGCAGTGCTGCTGCGTTGCACAAAAATTATAGTCTTAAGTTTCACTGATACCACTTCTTGTCATGCTCTGAGACACCACGGTGGCGTTGGGTGCCCTACTTGGCCTAATAAGAGAGGATCTGAGGAATTTTATGGGTTTGTTGCAAAGCCAAGTAGTTTCCAGCCTCTTTCAGGTGTACTGGCTCTATGAAAGACCAATGTCTATGTCCAAAATAGCGAGTTATTTGCGCGACCAAAGCCTGACTCAGTTGAAAACGCGAGTTTCATTACACCCCCTTACTGAGATACGAAGTTCTGAATAAGGAGCCTATTCGCATAATTGTTTTACAACTCTAAAATCATGTTCGTCAACAAGCACACAATTTCAAAAAAATATTATTGTCAATGTGTCTGTGGTGGCGCTTACTCGCTGTTGTTCTTTTATCGGTAGGCAGTTCTTGAGAAGTTTTGGTTTTTTAGAGTTGAAGTGAATAACTCACGCATTATGTACTCATGTTGTGTGCTGACTAGTGGTTTTCTTGTTAGTAAGATCCAGGATGGTAATTATAATTACCTAACTAAGAATATATTCTTAGTTAACCTTAAAGTTCCTGAGCAGCAGTTGAACGTTACGAACATCTGATAGAGTTAGAGATGCGCAGTGCACCTCTTAAAAACCAGGCTTTGCTTTTCATTCTTCCCATTTTCTAGAGCTGGTCCTATGGCTTCATGCAGAATTACTAATTCCGTCTCGACAGTCAGTTGTAAACAGCGATCTCATAATGACTCTCACCTCTGGCTCCACAAAATATGCCGTTGACTTTCATTGTCGCGACTATTCACTTCATTTATTCTTCCCGTTACCTATCGATAAAATATTAGCATATGTAACAAAACTGCTTACCCATATTTTCTTGGTTTGAGCCCGCAGCTAATATATAGGCCCTTGACAACGCATTTGGTTATAGCCATATTCACTTAATACATCCATTATCTGAAGCACTCATGTTAAGATGTGGTTTTCTAGTTATCTTGCTGACTTTTAGTAGTGAATGGCATATTACACCTGAATTAATCAAGGTGGTGAAGTTTCCCTTACCCATTACCTCAAATCACTTTGCTGATTTACAGTTGTTTGAAGGTAGTATGTCAGTACATGCATGGATGTCTTGGAAATGAACCAGGGCTAGTCAGTTAGTTTTTCAAGGGTTGCTTTTCAACTTCAGGAACTATGTTGCGTCCTGTGGCATCCTTAGTGATGTAACAGTGAGTTTTACAGACTGGATATGAGAATATAAAGGATTGAAAATGGAATATTTTATTGATGGCAGTCGGCAAACTTTTATAGCTTCAACAGTAATGTGTAGCAGTCAGAAGTTAGTTTACACCACAGTTTAATTTTAGTTTATTCTATCACCCAGCCATATGACAGCAGTCTGTGATGTTGTGAATAGATATCATTTGAGGGTGTGAATAGCACCTAGATATTTTACAGGAGGCACTGGACGACCAGTCCATCTTCTTGAAATATCCAAGTTGTCAGCAGCAGCTTTGAATTTTATGGGAATAGTTTCCTCTAATTGTAGCTGCAGTGTTGCATATTTGCTTCAATCAGTCGAATTGTAATGTTTGTAGGTCTTTCTAGACCGGAACATATTTTATTGCATGACATGAATGGTGGCAGAATCTTTCGACAATATCTAATATCTAGTACATGGGTCTAAGCTTTTTCTAAGGTTTTGTCCCAAGTGATTTCCATCTGAGGCGTGCAATGTAGCCACTATTAACTTTATATCATTTGTGTACCCCAGCAGTGATTCAGAGACTTCCTGGAGTTATCACAACTCGTTCGGTCGAGCTGGAAACGTATAAAAATCGATTTAACGTCAAATGTCCGAGAAATAAAGCTTTTATTTTCCGAATTGCTTATTTGATGACTCAATTCTCAGTGGCTGGTTTCGTTTCTTGGGTAACGACAGACTATAATACTTGCATACGTGAATGAAAAGATGGTATACTGTTATTTGTACTTGTTTGTATGTATAATCACAGCCTCTTCACTATAGAAGTTCACTGCTACCTTTACCATCCTATTTTGGTCTACCCTATCGTAATCTATAACTACTTTATGTTGGAGTCTATCATCTGTTACGTTGGTTCTCGCTTCCTACCTAGTAATCAGATTTACTCGTAATAATTTGTATCTTACGAATACACTTTTGTCTGTCGATTATATAGTTTGGGATGCGCAAACTACACATTTATCCTGTTGCTTCATTAATATTTACTACAGAGTTTTGTTCTCTGTAGTCAATGGTATAAACAGTAACTCAGCGAAACGAATTCTCATAAGATACTTGGGAAGGCAAAGAGCTTTAATCCGCTAAATCCTGAATACTTAAGATTGCTTTTTAAGTGTGAAGGTAGAATTTTCGTTAGATTGTGTTAGATTGTTAGATTGTGTACAAGATGCACCTTACTAGGTGTCCTTCACATTTAGGTTGCTGTTATCATCTTGACTATTCAGGGTTGTCAAAATGCTTGTAAATATCATTAGGACATGTTTTTTTTAATTGTTATAAGTAGTGTTCATCGTCATAATGTATGTGCAGTATCCTAAACGATAGCTGCTATCTTAACTTGGTGGTCGTTTGAATATAACTATGAATCGACGATCGGTGCTGGTGGGAACATTTGTTGCCATATCTGAAATATTTGTTTGGATAGTGAAAAAACAAAAAGCAGTGACTGTTATGGTGTATGTAGCTACACTGTGATGGGATCCAAGTGCAAGGTTGTACTATTGACTGGGTGTGACGTCAGTAAGGTGTTCTTCGTATGCGAACAGGAGTAGGTGCTGGCTTTCTTATGGGAAGTAAGGGGGATTAAAATAGGTCAACTTCAAAACAAGCCCACTACTCTTGGAGAAACTATCATTCCTACTCTCCTAAAACCAGACTGCCAGTTTCACTTCAGTTTTCCAACGTTCACACGCTATTGACAACATGCGTCAGTTGTTAAGACTCTTGAATCTCGACCCATGGATGTATGCTGCTTCTAAGACATGCCTACGACACCCTAGTGTGGTTATTTACCCTACTTCGCTTCTACAATATAGTGAATCTGCGAAATTCACTTTACGAGTACGCCTAAATTTCATGACTAGCCCCTATGAACTATCTGGTGTAGGTGCTGCTTAAAGTTGTAAAGCAAAAAAGCACACTTCTGGACTGAGCATGTCGATGCTTATCTGTACACTGTCCGACTGAACAAATTGAAGAAATAAGACGGTGGTACTAATCAATGCCTATTCATAGTCTCCGCAAATGCACCAGTTGACTGAAGTTCCGATGACAAAAAGGTGAGTTTTACTGAAAAGTGTCACTTTTTCTGAGTTAAGCGAAATGTTCAGATATGGACAAAATAACAGACGAAATGTAGAAACTGGGTCACTCAGAAAAACCGTGTTTTATACGGTTCCTACACCGATGAAGAAGCAGCAATGATTGCCTCTTCTAATTCTGTCCTGATTATCCCTTATTTCCGGCCAACACTAACGTTTCACTTAGTTTCTGCCAGCATCAAGTCAGGTGGAGAGTGATCATGTTGCTACTAGTCATCGTTGGAGAGAATCAGTGGACGATCACCTGTTTCTGGAGTATTCATTTGAACTACGATCGTGTCTTAGTTCAAACACGCGTATAATTACACCTTCATGGACTCAAGAAACGAACAGCGGTGAAGTCTTTGTATGGCCTAACTAAAAGCTGAGAACGTCAAAGATGCATTTTAGATAGTGTAGCATTTATCGGAATATGGCAATAGTTCTCTTCCTGATGAAGCCGAGTGAAATATTCAGCCTGCCTTAGGAACAGCAGGAAAACTCATTCCAGCTGACTCTGAGCATAATGAAGAGCGAATGGGGCTGAAACGTAAGTTTAGCGACGGTCTTTGCAATTACTCCCAAAAGCAGTAGGTGGCGAAATTGAAAGAGATGGAGAGGGCAATAGCATTCGATAATACTCATCAACTCTTTGAGCTTAATAAGGAAATTTGCAAGAAGAAGATGATGGTTAGTATAAGACCATGATCAGAGAGGATAATTCCCCGATTACCTCTCAGGACAGGTGGCTAGATCGTCAGGCGGGACACTGAAATAATTCAGTGGGCCTACAGCCACGCTTCGATTTTCCAGGATTCAGACGGTAAAGTGGTAGATTACATTCACTAATTGGCTCATTTGATCGGTCTAATTGGGTTGGTTGTTGAAGAAATCTCACCTCGGGTGAGAACGATTCGCTTAGCATCTCTGGCACGGGTGAGATATTCAATTACCTAACAAAGGACAAGTATCATCCGCAGCAGTCTGACTTGTCCTATCTTACGCCTGTAAAACATGGCCTCTGAAATCGAAAGATGTGAGATCGTTGCAGTCCACTGACCAAAGCCTTGCTCACATGCTGTCTGAGCAATGTTAAGGTTAGACGTGTGTTACTAAGCGAGCCAATCGGTGAGGTTATGGAGCTTCACCGAACTGGATGGATGAACACGTGTTGTACATGCCAGGCTACCGCCTACCTCGACACGTGATGCTTATCGGAGTAGGACTGGTTTGGTAGAAGGTCAATAACATTCAGACAAAGACTTTACATCAGTCCATGAAGTGTCTGAGTATCTGTCCAAACCATGTGTGGAAGTGTAGGCTGCCTGTAGGGAAAAGAATTTACTGGTTGGAGACTCTTTGTGATGTAGCCGAAAATCGATCACAGTGGCGCTTATGTAAACAGTCTTTGTCACCTTCAGAATCTCGAATATTTTCGTTGACGTTTGCTTACTTATTTCCTATGATCTTATTCGTGTTTTTCTACCTTCTTCCTTGCATACTGCTGTAAAATGTGATAGCTTAAAGGCTTGCATTTCTGTGATACGTTTTGCTCTAGTTTATCTGTCTCTTTGTTGTTCTGTGAAACGTCCAGACCTTTGTACGCACTCACTTCCAATAATTGGAGATTAAAAACCATAGAAAACTAAATGTATCAAGCTTTTCTTGTAAGTACTGATGGGCACGTAGTGGACGAGATAGTTATTTGTCTGATAAAAGCCCAAGTAACTTCCATCAATACTCACCACATCTGATGGTGTTGTAATTATTCTCCAATCGTCAGCGATTACATTTATAGCACTTGAGGTGCTTACTTTTGTCCCAGATGCAAGAGTCAGCAGCACTCGGATGATGTTGAACAACTCTAAGTTTTCGCAACAGCAGTTTACATTTGGCGTTTCAATCAATCAATATCAAAATAGGACCAGGTATTACTGCATAATGGTCCAGGTTGCCGCACCTCATATCAAGTAACATAGCAGTTAGATGAAAGATGAAAAATGAAGCATCGGTCAGAAGTAGGAAGCAGTAAAGGAGTGGAAGGAGCAATAATATGCTGAATTCA